CAGGTTGTTGTGAAGATAATTAGAGAGAGAATGATTCTCTTCTTTGAAAGCTGTTAAGTGTGATGCAAATTGTGGGGGGTGGCAAGTGCAGTTTTTGCTGGATGGATTCTAGCTCACAAGACAAGCACTTAACACTCACAGGCAAAGCCATGACCTTTACCCTGCCAGATGGAATCCTGTGGCAGGGAAATGACCTTGAGTCTCAGCTCAAAGAGACTAAGGGGGAGTGTCTTCTGAAAGACCAGCAAGTAGGAGGAAGCTTTCCCACTAGATCAGGAGGATCACTGCTTCTCTGCTTCTAGCAGAACGCCAACCACCAGTTTCCAAGATCACAAGCTCCCTGTTGTTTATGGTGATCTCACCATGGTTTTCTTGCTTTTTACTGCCTGCAAGTCCCCCTGTTCCTCTCAGACTGATCAATGAGTTATAGACTAGAAGTCCCTTTGCAAGACAATGTTCTGCTACTTTAGATACATAAGCCTGGCCAATAGTAAGGAAGAGAGGGAGTCTCTGAGTTATAGGAGTTTGTTGTTGTTGTTATGTACCGTCGAGTCACTTGCGACTCATAGTGACCCTATGTACAACAGCCCTATACTCCCCTCTGTCCTGTGCCAATCGCACTGTCTCTGACACTCCCATCCCAAATATCTCAGTCACTGAATCAATCTACCTCATAGAGGGCCTTCCTCTCCTGCGCCGTCCCTCCACCCTCCCAAGCATGATGTCCCTCTCCAAGGACCAGTCTTTCCTCACAACATGTCCAAAGTATGTTAGATGGAGCCTCAGAATCCTTGCCTCCAAGGAGCCACCTGGTTTAACCCTTTCCAGGACAAATCTGTTTGTTTTCCTAGCAGTCCATGGTATTCTCAGTACTCTTCTCCAGCACCACAGCTCAAAGGCATCAGTTCTCCTTCTATCCTCCTTGGTCATTGTCCAACTCTCTGATGCATAACAGGTGATTGCGAAGACCATGGCCTGTATCAGACGCACCTTAGTCTCCAGAGAGACACCATTGCTCTTCAGCACTTTGGAGAGGTCCCTAACAGCAGACTTTCCATGGCAATGCACTTTTTAATTTCCTGGCTGCTGGTGCCAAGACTGTTGACTACAGAACCAAGCAAACTAAAGCTGTGTACAATCTCAATCTCTTCACCATCCATCCTGATGCTGCCAATTGGAGTTTGTTAGTGGCTTGCAAGTCCCTTTGAAATTGTGGTGGCCCTGTGTGTTTCACAGCAGAACTGTTCCATCCAATTTTTAGGCTGTGACTTTTTGGAAAAAGATCATCTTGAGTGTCTCTGTCTTCCAAGGGACCGCTGGCTGGGTTTGAACCACTAGCCTTTTGGTTAGTAGTTGTTGTGTGCCGTTGAGTTGGAAGTGAACTATAGCTGATCCTCCAGCAGGTTTTCAGAGGCGGTAATCACACTGGAGGGGATTGGCCATCCTCCTGCAGAGCAGCTAGTGCATTTGAACCACATGCCTTTGGGATTGCAGCTCAGCTTCTTACCACTAGACTACCAGGGTGTCCTGTGCTAGCCTCATCTTGTCTGACATTTATGAGGCCACTGCTGCAGTCACTGTGTCAGTCCACCTTATTCAGGGTCTTCCTCTCTTTGCTCTGACCCTCCACATTTCCAAACATGATATTCCTTTCCAAAGATTAGCCTCTCCTAATAACATGCCCAAAGTATGTGAGGCAAAGTTATGTCATCTTTGTCTCTGGCTGCACTTTCTGTTCATTATTTTGGCAGTCCCTGGGATATTCAGCACTCTTCTCCAAACCACAACGGAAAACCATCAATGTTTCTTCTGCCATCTTTTATTTGTTGCCAAGCTGACCTCATTGGTCTTCAATATTTTGGAGAGGTCTCTGATTGCAGACTTTCCCAGTGCAATGTGTTTCCTTATCTCCTGACTGCTGGTACTAAGGTTGTTGATAGGAAGTCTAGCTAACCTCATTGTATGACTGAAGAGATAGAAATCTGGGGAGGGTAACTAGAAGATCACTTGCCAGAGTTTGCACAACTAGTAGGAGATGGATCAGGATTTGATCCAAGGCAGTGTGATTCTGAATCTCATATTTATTCTCTTGTTCAATCCTATCTTTACTGTGAAGAACGAATGGCAAGCTTTAATACTGCTCCCAGTGTTCTGCTGCAATGGTGGAGACTTGAAGGAAGCAATGGGCACTCCATGTCTTTCCTCTGGAGGCAGGCATGTGTTTAACTGTGCTCGTGACCCTGACCCTCCATCTCATTTCTAAGCCTGTAAGTCTTAACAGGAACAGACCGATCCCAGTATGCTGCCGGGGCTCTCTAAGCACTGAACACATTGTTGTTGTTATGTGCCATTGGGTAGGGCACAACTCATAGTGACAGGGTTCAGATCCGTTGTTTATAGGGTCACTACGAGTAACTATGAGCCCTGAACAGAGATGACAAAAAAGAATCTTGGCTTAAATTCTGAATCTTCTTTTATTTTGCTTCAACCCAAACTTCCTTCCTTCAAAATAGTGATAGTAAAGTATTAGGTTGTTGTTCAGTGGTTGAACTTGACCATGCAAAGACTGTGTGCTTGATTGTTGACATAGAGGTAGGTGATTCCAGCCCACACAGGGGCACCATTGAAGAAGTCCAGCCCAATGAACCCATTGCTGTTAATTCCAACTAAAGGTGATCTTCCATTGAGTGTCTAAGGTGGAAATCTTAATAGGAGAGAATGACATCATCCTTCTCCATTGGTGTCACTGCTGGATTTGGTTTTTTTTATTATTATTATTAAATTTTATTAATTTTAATGAACATTTACAGGGATTTTGGGTTTTCATTCCTTCATTGCTGCACCATTCTCTCTACCCTCCTCCCCAGTTTGTTCTTCTTCCCCCGCCATCCGAATGTCTGTTTTAATTGTCCTATTGCCACAGTGCTTGTCAAAGTCTCACTGCTGGATTTGAACTGCTGACTTTTGGGTTAGCAGCCCAACATAAAATTACTCTATGCTACCAGGGCTCTTTCTATGTAAGAAAAGTTCTGGTGATCTACTTCTGTTTAGATTAACTAAAAACTCGCTGGCTCCAAGTTGATTCTGACCAGCAGTGACCTCATAGGACAGAGTACCACTGCCTCACAAGGTTTTCAAGGTTACAATCGTTAGGGAAGCTTAGTGGCACCTCTCTCCTTAGAAACAAGCTGGTCCGATGAGGGAGGTTTTCTTTTTTTTTTTTTTTTCTTTTTCAAAGAGAAGAGCAAACTGGAGGGGAGGGATGGGCAGGGAGAAACGTGCAACAATGAATGAATGGAAATCCAAAATCTCTGTAAATGTTCACTAAAATTAATAAAATAAAATAAAAAAAAATATGCTGGTCCATGTGACACACCAATGTTTTGGTTAGCAGCTTAGTGCTTTCACCACGGTGCCACCGAAGTTCCTTAAGGCCAAGAAAACCCTATTGGTCATGTCTATTCCTTGAACAGGGGAATCATGCTTGCCAAGGTGGAGGGGATCAGTGAAGAAGATGAAGACCCTCAACCAAGTGGATTGGCATGGTGACTGCAGTGATGGGCTTGAGCGTCAGAGATTGTGAGGATGGCACAGGATAGGATGGGGTTCTGATCTGTTGTTCAGGGATCACTATGAGTTGGACTTGACTGGATGGTAAAACAACCTTGGAAGCAGAAGTGGCATCCACTTCTGAAATAGCTTGCTTCTGGAAATGCTATGAACCTGGAGAAAGGGTGAAAGTTATACAAATGTTCAGGTCTTTCAATCATAGCATCGCTATGAGTGTCCTACGACTCAATGACATTTAACAACAACAATAACAACTCTGCAATATAGGAGACCCCACATGAGGGATAATGGTACATCTTCTTTACTCTTTAAGTGCAGAAGAATCTCAGTATGTTCTAGTCAGATTGACACAGGGTGAGTGTGGGGATCCCTGACCATTGGGCTTTCAGAGCCTGGCCTTAGTGTCTGCCAGCTGGAATTATCATAGTTATGATGAGAATTAAATGACACAGTGTCTGAAGCAGATAGTATCCTGTGCATAAATACCGACTGAATGCTTTGCCACAGAGTTGATTCCAACTCACAGCAGCCCTTTAGAACAGGGTAGGGCTGTCCCATGAGTCTCTGAGACTATTGTTCTCACAGATGGAGACTAGCACGTCTTTCTTCCACACAGTGACTGGTAGGTTTGAACCAATGACCTTTCAGTTTGCTGCTGAGACCTTCACCACTGCACTAAAAGAGTCCTTCATCTTGTCTACACTCACTTCCTGACCCCGCAGGAAGAGTACAGCTTTCCCATAGGGTTTCTAAGACAACAGATTTTTATAATAACATATTTCCAATCTCTCTCCTAAGGTGTAGCTGAGGTGATTTGAACCTCTGACCTTGAGGCTAAGGGTGTTGTTAGGTACCATCGAGTTAAGTATGACTTATAGTGACACCGTGAATAATCGATCTGAACGTTGTCCTATCCCATGCTATCCTAACAATCTTGGACACACCCAAGCCATTGCCTCAGTCATTGTGTCAGCCCAATTGGGTAAAGGCCTGCTCCTTTCTCGCAGCCACTCCACTTTTCCAAGCATGACGTCACTCTCCAAGGAGTAACCTCTACTAGCAACATGTCCAAAGTGGGTGGGACAAAACTTCATCATCTTTGCGTCCAAGGAGTACTCTGGCTGCACCTTCTCCAAGACATATCTGTTTGTTCTTTTGAAAATCCGTGGGATCTTCAGGACTCTTCTCTAACACCACCGTTGAAAGGCATCCATTCTTCTTCTGTCATCTTTAGTCATTAATTATTCAGTTCTCAGATGACTAGCCAGTGACAGAAAAGACCATGGCCTGAAATCAGGTGCACCTGATGGACGCGAATCAAACATCAATAGTCAAGCATTTTCACCCCAACACCAGCAAGACTCCCGACTTCACTGTAGCAAACATTTCATAAATGCTTCTATGTTTCCCAGGGAAACAGGGCTACTTACCTCACTTAAGTCCTTAAAGCTTATCTGCCTGAAAGAAAAAGAAGTCGTGTTATATAAAATACAGCTTATAATGATTAAGATAAAATGAGATTTTGAGCCCTTGCAAACCTTGGGTTACAGTTTCATTGCGAAATTAATAGCCCATAGTCTAGTGTGCTATTTATTACTAGGCTATAAAACTAAAGCCAGGTTATTTTTGTCATAATTTTCCAAGAAAAGAAATTATGAGCCAGTATAAAAGGTGATAACATAAAGAGCAGAGAGCATGAATAAACTCACTTCTCATTGAGGTAGGGAAAAGGTATAAAGACCATTGTCATTCCTGCTGACATTCAGCTTTCCAGGTTAAATTTCATTGGGACACTCAGACCTGCTGTCATTAGACTTCTTGCCTTTAAAATAATGACTTTGATTTTTAAAGCTTTTAGGTTTTTGCTTTAAGAAAGCAGAGAGACTTTCAAATAGGAAGCTGTCTAGGAAAGTATTCTCCAAAGAAAGAAGTTTCACAAAGAGGACTGAGACAAAAACAAAAACATAAATTATAGTAAGGACATACTTTAAATGGAATTTGATAATGAGGTCACAGACTGATCTCAAAATAAACCCCACGCCTTTAAGTTTCCTTGGCAAAGTACCTCTTAAATATTTTCTTCCCTGTCATTGGAAAGACTCTCTTGACTAGCTGATGTAGAAATGTGAAGGAATGAAAATTACTTGTAGGGTTTTTTTAAATTTTATTTATTTTTTTATGGGTACTGTCAAATCAGATCTGACTGGTACAGGAGGAGATTGTCCCTCCTTCTCCAGCAGAGCATTTGGTGGATTCAAACCACACACCTCAGGGATTGCAGTGGAGCTTCTTGCTACTAGGCCACCAGAGCGTGCCAATTTGTGTTTATTGACCACCATTGTTAGGAGGAGATTGAAGTAAGACAACTGTAAATGCAGCAGATATTGTTGTTGTTTGGTGCCATTGGATTAACTATAACTCATAGCTACCCTATGAATGATGGATCTAGACCCTGCCCTATCCAATGTCATCCTTCTCTGCCCCTCTGAGACCATTGTTAGAGTCACTCTGTCAATCTCGCTCATTGAGGGTCTTCCTCCTGCCTTTTTTGCTGGCATGGTACTCTTTTCCAAGGACTGACTCCTTCTAACAACATACTGAAATGCCACCATCTTTCTCTCTAAGTGTCACTTCGGTTGCAACCTGTCCAAGACGTATTTATTCTTTTGTCAGTCCATGGGATAAGTCAGTATTATTTTCCAACACCACAGTTAAAACACATCAATTCTTCTATAATCTTTATTCATTGCCCAGCAATCAGACGCATAGTAAATAATTGAAAAGACCGTGGCTTAGATCAGATGCACCTTAGTCTTTAAACTGACATTCTTGCTCTTGAAAAAATTCCATCAACCCAACTCTGTCAGTGAAAATGTGTGACTTGAAAGCCCTGGAGACTGGAGTCATAAAAGCCAACCTGTGTGCGGTCGGATTATTCCAGAAACACAAGGTCCTGTGGCGAAGTCTCAGGTCTCTGGACAATCGGCAACTGTACTGTGGTGTTCATGAAGAACACGGAGAACACTGTGGACTTCCAGAACGAGCAAGCCCATCTCAGAGGAAGTACAGTCAAGATGCTTCTTAGGAAAAAGGGAGATGGAACTTTGCTCTGTTACCTCAGACATGCCATCAGGAGGAACAACTGCTAGAAAGGTCTATCACAGTGGGCAAAGTGGGGAGCTCTGGTGGTGTAGTTCATAGGGTGTTGTGTTGTGACCCACAAAGCTGGATTTTCAGAGACTTGAACACATCAGCTGCTCCATAGGAGACAGATCGGCAGTCTCCTCCAGTTGTCGTTTACAACATTGGGAACCCAGTAAAGGTCAAAGTTGACTCAATGGCTATGAATTTGGTTTTGAGTGGTCAGTTAGAGGGTTAGTGAACATGAGAGAAACTCTTAGTGACATAGATGGAACCAAGAATCAAAACAAGGAGCTCACGTGCACCAATGATCATGAAGATGGTACAAAGCATCAATACTAAATAGAGGACAAGATAAAAACGGAGGAAATCTATGAAATGGATTGACACAGCACTCAGACAGCTCATACATAGCCTGACGATAACATGAAAGCATGACGTAACATGATGATGACCACGCACTGGGCAACATTCCATTTTATTATTCAAAGGGATGCCTTACTTAACTCGAGGCACCTAACAAAATCAGAGATTCCACATTTCCGATCTCTTATTTCTTTTCTCTCTTCTGAGATAATACATCTGTACATGCTACCCTTCCCTTTTAAATTGCCCAACTGAGAAGATAAAGACACATAAAGAGGTAATGAAGTAGAACAAGCTCCCATGGTGGTAATTACTCTGGGGTTAAATGAGCCCAATCTCTGTGATTTGCACTGAGGTTATATTAGAGATTTTAACAGATTGGCCAGATGGCTTCAACTTACAATGCACAGTTGATTTTTTTTTTTTTTTTTAGACTTAGGATTTTTAAGTTATGGAGTCAAGAGCTTTGATTCACTTCATAAAGGGTGTGAGCAGTTTAAGATAATTCTAATTTTTCTGTATTTGTGT